TCTCTCTCTCTCTCTCTCTCTCTCTCTCTCTCTCTTTCTCTGTGTCTTTCTCTCTCCCTCCCTCCTTCTTTCGTGCACTCCTCTATTTCTATTTTCGCGTTTGTTTGTGTTTTGGCGCATTCATATGTTGCACCCAATACTTGTCGCTCAAATTCACGGATGTTTCTCTCTCTTTCGTCCACCCTGCTCCTGCCATGCTCTGATTCGCGTTTCGCGTTTGTTTATGCTCTGGCACGTACGTACATGCGTAAAACCTATGTTGACAACTGTTGCTACGCGTTCGTTCCAGGGTAGGCGCCATCCTCGGGGAGCTCGTACCCCTCTCTGCCAAGCGCCACCGCGTGGCCCCGCGGCTCGCACGGGTACACCTGGTGGACGGAGCCACGGGCGTCGCGAAGGCCGGCAGGGCGGTGGCGGCCGGTCTGTGGCCGGCCCTGGAGGTGCTCACCTTCTCGCACTGCCGGGCGAACGCGGGCCACTTCCGCGACCTGGCGCGCGGGCTCCGCTCGGGGCTCGCCCCGAGGCTGCGGGTGCTAGGGTGGGACGACCAGTCCAGCGTCAGGGACGTCGCGGTCGATGACGTCATCCTCGGCGCGCTGTCCTGGGGGCAGTGCCCACTCGTGGAACGCCTCAGCTTCACGGGAAACCGTTTCTGCCCGGAGCACAGAATCAGATACCTGGAGGAGATGTTGTGGGTCTGCCCTCGCTTGCGAGAGCTGCGCATGGACTGCAGCCGCACGCCTCACCATCAGCTGAGCGTCCTGGCGGGCGCCCTGGCAGGAGGGCACGTGCCACGGTTGGAGCGGCTTCTCGTTAGGGCAACGGCGCGCTACTACCGTGACAGCGACGTGGAGCTGCTGGCGCTGAAGCGGGCCGCGGCTTCGAGGAGCCCTCCCGTGGAGCTCGAGTTACAGATCAAGACGCGACTGAAACAATAACAGAAATAAGTGGTTGCTAGTGACACAACTGTGCCTTATTGCTCTCCGTGTAACATCCTCCCCTACGTTGTAGTGCGCATTTCTTTCGCGTAGCAAAACCTCCCACTAGGAGTTGCGCGCAGCAGGATTATTTCGCGTCGAGGCAATTCCATGTGGCCTCACTGGTACAGTCGGTTTTGCAGTGAGCTTCGCGACACAGATATAATATGTGTGTCTACTGTTGGTTGTGACAGTACGTCGGTATATATGTGTATCAAAATCGGTACTGGTAGAGTTTAGAAACAATATAAGGGAAATATAGAGGGTATTGTTTCTGTTTTCAAGAAGGAACGGGCGGATGAATATGTGGCGTCCTTTCGATTTCCCTCCGAGGATTGGGGAGGCAGATTTTGGTTTTGGTTACTTGTGAGAGTTGTCGAAGCCTTTGTCAAAGCGCCTGTCCAGATTGAACGGGATAGTTTCGGGGGGTGTGACGAACAAAGCTCTTGTCGATACTGCTGTACATTTCGGATTTACTTTGCTCTAGGTCCCTATGGACGAGCGCAAGGTGGTTGCAGAACGGATAAGTTCGCTCTGGATATAGATATATATGATTGAGTCGTTCAAGTCCAAGTAAATATGTTTATCTGAAGATGCATCGCCGTCTCGCTTGTTATTGGTGGGAGGCCACATTCTAGGTTGCATCTATCTAACCTATCTGGTCTATCTTTTATGTACATGTGGACATTCTGTTGGTTGTTCGTACATCTTCGGGTTGTTGGTGTCTACTCCGGGTCAATGTTGCGTTTTTCCCAGAGAGCTCAGTGTTTCGTGCTTCTTCTCGAACCTGTCTTCATGTAGCTGCATTTTGGACAGCTCGATTGGCCCTATTGCGTACTACGTAGTAGCCGTCGAGGTAGCTGTGACTCGTGTTCCAGAACAGGCCTATTGTTAAGAAACGTCAACACCGGGTTGTCAGTTTTCTTCTTAATTCGTCGCCACTGTTGAGCATAGGTTGTTATAGTCTAGAGTAGAGAGTTTAGCGTGAAAAATTGAGCCTTTGTTCCCTAACTAAATATTTCTCGACTGCGGGCCCGTGTTTTGCATGGTATTCGGAGGTAGCCATGTGATGGTGGTGCGTTACGAGGTTTATCTAGCGCTATGTATCAGAAGTTGTGTGTTGACGTATGGCAATATTCAGGTTATATTACGATTTCAAGTGCCATCCTGTTCAGTGTTGTACTTGGGGCCTTGTTTGTGTTGGGTCCCGGCTATGGTATACATACAAGGCGATAGGAGCGGAGCATTATCAAGGCGAAAACTACGGAAAGCAGCAACAACCTGCACCCACCCGTGGTCGGGATGGTTCCACACAGCCCCAAGGTGATCAGTGAAGTCATATGACAGGATTACCCCCGAGGGACGGACGATCCATTTGAACCACTTTTCGAAGACCGGGGGCATCGCAATTAAATAGATTCGTCTAGATCCGACGAAATATGCCATTGAGACGAAACATGTACGTATGTGATGCGCTGAATCTGCGCAGCAACTGATCGTGTTGTCCTCGAAACGCCTGTGGGGCGTATGTATGTGACGTGTGCGAGGGGGATAAGATCGGTACGCCGGCCGCTTGAGACGGGTTTTCGCTGCTAAACAGAAATCAACCCACCACGAAAACAAGGTACGGAAGGGCTTTCTGTGATACAGTATCGTGCAACGACTAGACAACTTCTCAAGTTGCACTGTTTGCGTCGGACCCGACTGATACTATACGTGCATGCAGCAAACCGTGAGACATCTGAAAGGAGGGAAGAACAGTAAAAATATTCGCGCCAATCACAACGCAGAAAACTTTGTCTGTACGGAGCTAACCACGACAGATCACAGCTGGCTGCTGTCCCTGGAAGGATTCTTTGTGTGGCATGTGTGCTTTCTTGCATTTTCTGATCGCTGTCGCGGGGGGACGGTTGTCGCCTGAAGAACTCCGAGTGAAACGAACGTCAGTCGCGGTGCTGGTCCCGAACACGCAAATAAATCTGTCCTTGTACATGTACACCGATACATAACACCCCTCCCTCGCTGAATCCTTTGGTACGACACGGCGCTCGATTTTCACTCCTTTCTTTGTTTGCAATACCCGCCACAATATCCAGCGCACTCATCACACCAGCACCAATCTGGAACACCCGTAAACGCAACACCCCCCATACCAAATAAGACAAAGGTTCAGTGTTTACTTGGGCTGACCCGTCCGTTCGGTCACTGGAGGTCGGCGTCAAACTCTAGCAACACCAACATCGTTGAGGACGTGCCCGAGGAACCAGTTACGCTGGAAGACTGCCGCACTAGCCCCCCTTTCTGTACGGTGCGGTGCGGGAGGTGTTCTCAACAGATGGTTCTGCTGCTCTCAACGCAAGTATACTCATCTAGCTCGTTTTGCCATCATTTACATCGGGGGAAGGATGGAACGCCCAGAGTAATGGCAGCGTGCGCGCTCTCTTTGCCTCACATCCCCTTTGGTTCACGGTTTACACAAGGCCAGGACACGAGAGCGCATTGGGAAAAAAAACTAAGGCCGGAAGCAAAGGACTCCACCCATGGGTACGAGCCCTCGTGGTTTTCATCCATGATAAAACTGTCAACATTTAACATTATTTACTATCGGTAAGGCTCTTTCGGCAGGAAAGGCATCGTCAATCGAGCTTTCCCGCCTTTTCTACGTGATACACCCACAAACTCCGGTTTTCCGCGGCCGTGCTTGGGGCAATGGGTGGGATGTTCGTTGGGCGGTCCCCACCTTGATGGTTTTCTGCACCCCTCTTCTGCGCATTCCCTTGCGTAGAAGGTCGTGGCGTCGGGGGGATCTTCCCCGTGGAAAGTGCAGACCGTGGGTATACCGTCCGCCGGCATACCCCACCGTGGGCGCTTGTAGCAGTCGCGGTGGGCGCAGTTCTTCACGCTGTATTCCACCATTTGATCGGCAGCATGTTCCTCGCAGACCTCCGGCCTCGTGCTGCCTTCCACGTTGTAGCAGAGTTTCTGGGCGCAACCGTCATGCATGCGGTGCCGAGGACCCACGTTCACCATGTCTTCCGACGCATGCCTTTTGCAGAACTTGCCCACCTTGCTGCCCTTCACGTTGAACACAGGTCGTGTGTTGCGGCCTTTGAAGGATCAGCAGCGCTTGCTAACGACGTTCACCATGTCTTCCGACGCATGCCTTTTGCAGAACTTGCCCGCCGTGCTGCCTTCCACGTTGAAGTAAGGTTTCCTAGCACAGCCGTCGTGTGAGCAGATACTCCGAGCGCGTCTCTTGCTGAAATCCACCATGCCGTCGGCCCTGTGCTTACGGCAGACCTCAGCAACTTTGCCGCCCTTCCAGTTCCAGGTAGGAGGATTGGGGCATCTGTTCCCGTTCTCACCCTAGTATGACAGAGAGAACAACGATATCCTTTCGCGTTTAGGGCGACCACGTGTGGGCTTGAGAATGGCAGGAGGTTTTCCCCCCGTAGCTTCTTGAGACCGTGGCACACCTGCCAGTTGCAAAGCTGGGCACACCCAGCAGATGGGGGGGAAACACGCGTTAGAAGGTAATGAAGTGAGCTCTACAGAGCACGGATCGCGGAACGTTCTCTTTCTTCCGGGATGAGGTAAAAACAGAGTTCACAAACACCTACAGCAGTAAGGGATATCGAGAACTTTTCCACACAAGCTAAGTCAGGGGGTGCGGTTGGTTGTTCGTGCAAGGTACCCCGCGTGTTCAGCTGTGATAGTTTCCGGGAGAGAGGGAGGTAAGCAGGAACTTGGACGCATAAAAAAGACTCCTGCTTACTGTGGAGGTCGAGGAAGTTGATAGTGGTACACTAAGCGGTTTGGGGCGAGCACGATACTCCTGCTGCTGCGCAGTCTCACGAGTGCGCACGATGCCAACGTTTTTCCCGGTTTAAGCCAATACCTGATAAAGTCGCATTGCATACTGTTCACCAAAGGACAGCCTTAAAAAATAGTCTTCCACAAAGAACTCACTTGGGGTTTGCTTGCTACACGGGCGTTTGTCCCGACAGAATCGGTAGGAGGCTCCTAACACCGGGAGTTGTCAAAATAAAAGGGGGGAAACACAAAGCGGAGATCCCACACACACAATTCAAGCCAGGAGAGCAGGAGGTAACACTCAGTTCAACACCCAACACCGCTAGGAGGAGCAAGAACAACACACAGCTCGTGGCGGATACCTTTGTCATTGTTGCTGCTTCAGTGGGCGGGGAGGGATAACCGGGAAACCAAACGCGTGACACGGGAAACAATGCAAAATTCGGTAGGGCTTTCCCGCGCATGTTGTCGACTCTCGCCACCCCAGTTTCCGTGTCTCCCATCGCCCCGCCGTCTGTATCAGGTGCTACACATGACGCAGCATTTACATTGCTCGAAGGGGATAGCTTTACACTTGCTGCTGCTTCACTTTGTGCAGATAAATCATCGAGACACCAAATCGGTGGCAGGGTACATATTACACATGTATGATGCGTATGCGTAAGGTTCCCAACAGCCTATGCATGAGGGTTGGTTTGTCGGCCGATGACTCGGATCGGCACAACAAATGATCGTCTACACCGCAAGAGTTGGTCATGATGTTTGCAAATCGTCTCTTGCGTTTGTCCTTTTAGTACGAAAATCCGACAACAACACAACTATGCCGCAGTAAGTGCTATTTACAACGCACAGCATTGCAGATAGACTACTGCAATATATTGAGTCATACCCCGCGGCTGATTTTCCGCCCTATCTATTTATCTAATTAGTATACGACGATGTGTTTTTTTTATTAACACCAGCTGGCATCCTTGATCCGTCACTGTAAAGGCTTCAACAGATTCAAGACATGAGCCGTATCCAGCAGGATATGCAAACCTTCAACATATTCCCTTCGACAAATATAGCCGTGGTACTACGTGCATCTTGAACGGGTAGTCTTTCAGTCATGACATGTGCACTTCCTAATAAGGGGGCTTATCATCATT